GATAAACACATGCCTTTTGCAGCAACATGGATGCAGTTGGAAGGGATCATGTTTAGTGGAATAAGCCAGAAAGCAAAAGAAAAATATCGGATGATTTCACTCATAACAGGGGCATAAAATAATAATAATAATGAACTACTATATACCAAACCATTTTACAGGGGTGGAGTGGGGAATGGGATCAAAAACAAGGGGAGCTGGGGAGAGGAGTGCACTGGACTATGGTGATGGCACACAGGTGACTTGGTGATGGGAAACCCACGGGGATTACAACTGAAATGGAAAAAGCCACAAAATGATGTAAAAATAAACTATTATATTATTTTTAAAAATTGGCTTATTCTTTTTCTTTTGGCCTTGAAGGATCAATTGTCTGTGAAAACTTTGCAAACTCATACAAACTCCTGACTCCTATGCTCTAAGTAAAAGTCAATAAATACCTTTGAATGAAAAAAGTTCATTCAAAAAGATTAATGTTATAATTAAAAGTGAGACACACAAGATTAAGTTGTACAGGGATAAAATATCAACTTTAGGAAAAAATGCCCTCTAGTTATGTCTAAATGACAGAACAACCTAGCCAGAGAAAGGTAGTTTAACAATTTTAGTAGCCCCTTACATCCTAATTCCAGCACTGGTTAAGTAACTGAGTTGACCTTTCTGTAATTCCATTTAAAATAACCGCAATACCTACTCTCAAAGGGTTGTTATAAGGACTAAATGAATTAATATGCATAAAATATTTAGGAGAGTGCCTGGTACACATTACTTGAATCCTTACTATTACTGTTATTTATTTTTGATAATTTAAAAATTATTACAGATTCTGAAGCAGCACTGGACAGAATGAAAATTAAATAAAGTAACAGGAAGCAACAGCAGGAGTCAGAATAAATGGAAGGGAAATAGAGAAAAAAGCAAGCCCTAATAATAGCATTTCCTAAAATTGAGATACTTGCAGAATGAATCCTTAAGACTTTATAGTAAAATTGAAATGCAAATGTTATTCTTTCAAGTGGAATCAACATGCACAATGAAGGATTTCATAAAAGATGATCAATTGTGTGCTGGATGAACACAGAAATGAACTGAAACCAAACTATTCTCCCTCAGGAAAACAAGATGTTGTCAATTCACTAGGGAGGATAGAAAGGTGATTAAAAATTCTATTCATAGAGTCTTATTTTGTTAGAAATATTACAATTAGCACACTATAATAAAATGTGGAATAAGGAGATCTGAGGTTGAATTCCAGTTCTACCAATTCAAGTCATGTAACCTTAATAAGTTAGCTTCTCCAACCACTGAGTTTTCGCATCTTTAAGAAGAAGACAATGTTGTTTAGTTAGCTCGAACAGTTGTTATGAGGATCAAGTGGAACTAAATAGATGAAAATACTCTTTTAAAACACTATAAAATTGCTTAAATATTAAGAAAGTGTTTAATATTTAAATGATGGTAAAAACTTTTAAACTGACTGCACAGGTACGAGTTTCTAATTGAAGCTCCCAGTTCACAGGATAACTTAGGGATGTCAGTCTACTAAAAATTCAGGGTTGCTACAGAATAAATTAATTTGATCAAATTAACAGAATAAACAGAAATGTGGTGTTCTACTTTAAACAATCTCCTGGAGTTTTATGTTCAGCATTAAGAGCTCTATTTTGACAGAAATTGAAAAACTGGTAATATGTCTAAGGGTGATAGTAACAAGAACAACAAAGTTCTCTTCCAATGAAGAATAGTTAAAATAACTAGAATGTTGGCAAGGAAATAAAGGAGAAGGGTAAGTGAGAGTGATTTTAAATGCTTAGATTTCTTATGTGCTAGATACTAGACAAGAACAATGGTATCAGTTATAAAAACAAAGATATTAGCTTAATAAGGAAGAAATTCCAGCCCAAGTAAGCTATTCTGTGACTTAAGAAAACTAACAAGTAAGAGTATTCTGTAATTACAATAGACAGTTTACAATGGACCACTCCTAAAACAATGTGTCGAGTCTCTAGAAGTTCAAAAGCAGAAGCTACATACCCATCAGATACAAATGCTACTCTGGATTGGTTAGATTTAAAGAAATTTATGAAATCTCTCTCAAAGTTAATATTCAGACAACTACAGAAACAGCAGGAAATTGAAATAAATGATGATAAAGGAAGCACTCCATCCTGATCCCACAAGAAATTACCGGTATAAAGAATGAGGAAATATGGGTAACACTAGGTCTCATGATAACTAGAACAACTATTTATAAATAAACCACAGTGCTGTCACTGTCACTCTTTCCCAATTTGTTTTGAGTCTTACCTCCTCCCTATAAGGTTCTAATTCCTCTCTGCCAAAATACTGTAATTTAAGAGCCCTGTGAGCCCTTAGGAAGGCCAGCAAGAAAACTGTGTTCTTTTTAATTTTCAATTAAGCAAGTCATTTTATTTCTTTACACCCAATAACAATGCAAAACAAAACAAAAAAAAAAACATGATTTATCTCTTATTACAGTTTTTGTTATTTTAATTGAGACTTTAGTTTTTAGGTTTATAGAAAATTGAGCAGGAAAGTACAGGAAGTTTCTATGTACCTCCCTCCCACCTATACTTTGCATTATTTTATATTTTTAATTAAAAAAACTGTAAATATATCCATCATATCCTTTATTTTTGTACTCTGTATGATTTCCCCGTGAAATTCCCCATGTGCCAACACCATAGTCCCTTGCGGTCTTCCAATCCCTTCCTGATCCTTTTCCCTAGTCCTCCCCTACAGAATATGTCTCATTCTATAGTTGCCTGATGATTTTGAAGCACTATTTTTACAATTTTGCTTTCAGTGGAATATATTTATTACAAGTGATGAGCTAATATAGATATATTTCTATAAACTGAAGTTCACATTTTATGTCAATATAAAATATATTCTATGCTTTTTAAACTTTTTAAATTTTGGCTAAATACACAAAATTTACCATCTTAATGATTTTTAAATGTACAGTTCAGTAGTGTTAGGTGCACTCACAATGTTGTACAACCAATTTCCAGAACTCTTCATGTTACAAAACAAACTATATCCATAAATTAATATTACATTTTTCTTAAACTCAATATTAATTAGAATAAACATAGCTTTTAAGCTAATTCTGCATAACCTTTTTTGGTTGTTTCTGTAATCTAAAATTCCAACTTACCATATCCATATATTAAATATAAATAAAAATTTAATTTTGTAGTATCTTCACTACACATAACGAAAACTGAAGAGGCAATACCAAAACTACATATTTACCCAAAAATGGTTTTTACTTTGTGTTCCAGTAATGGGTACACATATAACTAAAAAGGAGGTTAAGCACTTTTAAAACCACATTTGATATTCATAACATTTTTGCATAATCTTATCAAAATATTGTACTACATTTCTAAACACAACAAAAGTAATCATTTTTAGTATATACACGCAAATTCAAAGACTTTAATCAGTTTTTATTTGTTGAAGTAAAGAGGAAACGAAAAAGAAATAGCCCAATTAGCTAATGGCAACAGAAATGACCCCAGCTTTATTTGGCCTACAAAATAAGGAATTTTTAATGTAAGAATAAAATCTAATCTAGAGAATCTAAACTGAAAAAGAGCTTTATTATTTAGAATTCTGCTTTATATGTTTTTGTAAATTCAGTCAGGTTTAGTCACTCTAGGCCAATTTCCCAATGCAAATGTATATTTAGTCATTCCACTCTGTTTTTCCAATCACTTCCTCTACTTAATGCCTATTCACATAATCAGTTTCTCAATGTTTTATTCTCCAATCTGAAATATAAAGGATTAGTATAGGAGGTCTTTTTAGCCTCCCCAACACACACACACACACACACACACACACAGAGTCTTCAAAAACAAACAAATCCCACCGATTTCCATCACTGGGTATATGATTTAACTTTTCTAATCTTGGTTACCACATCTACAAAATAAGGATAAAAAAATGGCTAGCACTGTATTACTGACACATGAACTACTGAATGAAAGAATGAAAACTACAAAGTTGTTAAAACATTAAATGAGGCATTCTATTTCAGGTGCCAGACACCTAAAAGCTCACATTAAATGGAAGTGACTGACATCACCAAATTCCTCATGGCATCCCCCACTGCCCACATACTCCAATTTAAACTTCCCTGTCCTATTTAACCATGAAGACTGTCATTATTAAGCCTACTGTATCTTACCAATTTAATATCCAAACAAGAATCTACAGTAAATGAAATAAAATTTTTCTCTCTTCCACAAATAAGTCAAACATATTTCTAAAATTTGAAACTTTAATTTACTATCCTGTCATTGGACACCTTTTACTTTCTCTTACTCAAACACCAAATCCTTTAAGTTCACATTCATCTTGCCAGTAAGTATTCCCCGGTATTACTAGTTTTACTCATTTCTTCTTTTATCTAATAACCTCACACACAAGTTCATTAATTTACATTATCTGCTGTCCAATATTTCTAAGTAAACTGTAAATTACGCTGTAGCTTGTACTTCCATGTTTCTAGTCATCCCCAAAATTAAAAACTATAATGCAGTTAAACTGCAGTATAAATTAATGGATTTAAACTGTTAACTGGTTATTTCTGGATAAGACTGTAACAGTTGTCTTCTTTACTATTTTTTTATAGCTTTCAAATAAAAAACCAAAACTAGATTTACCTGGCTAAATAAATAAGTATACATACATATCAGTGGAATTTTAGCAACTATTTACTCTCTATATTGTACTCCTAAAACTGAAATATAAGCAGCGGTTCACATATGGTATTCAGATACCCTATTACTGAATATGCATGGCATTTCTCAATAACTAGACGTTCACTGCTTCTCGCGGTTTTTCAGTAATTGGTATTTTCATGATTATAGTCTCAGAACATAATTTTCTGTTACCAAACAAAAATAACACTGTCAATGTATTTGAATATATTTGAAACACCAAATATAATTTTTAAAAATTCTTACCTAATCCTTTTTGTCCTGGATTCTTTGCAAAATTAAAAGTAAACTGGTAAAAATCCTTAAATCGTCCTGGTTCTTTCAATTCTTGTTCCATCTTGGGTATCTGGGCCTTTAGTTTTTCTATGCTGTCACATCTACATTGTAAAATTAAGTTTATAAAAGATAAACCTTTTCACTATAAATTAAGGACTTAACTTATTCCTATGATAGCTTATATTTCATAGAATTTCTTTTTTAAAAATTAGATAGTTGAAATTTCATCTTTTAATATTACATAAACAAGAATGGGATTAGCTGGAAGAACAGAAGGTCTAGAGTGATCAATATTAGAAATAATTACTATTTTTAAGAGAAATGGGCTACTATGTTTAACTATATAATCCACTGGACTATCAATACAATGGTATTATAAAAGTCAATTACTATATGTAGAGGAGAATGCATGGTAATCAGTGTAACAATCACTAGTTTAAGTAGTAGATACTTCTTACATGGTAACAAATCCAAAGTAAATGAAAGCAGTCTTTTACTTGGATGTGGAGGCATTCCTCTTGAAAACTTAGCCTCTTGTTATATACAAAGTATAGTTATAATAACCATTGCTTGGATCCCCTACCATCTCCAAATGAACTGATCTCAAATCAATGTTAAGACTTTTCTGTATCTGATAGGCACCGAACTTTCAAAGATTTTAGAATATTAAACACCAAGTCTTACTTTCCATAATAACCTTAAGGTAGAAATATTTTATTTCTTATAGCTTCCATAGCCAACCATCCAACTTTTTTCCCATGTTATTTTTAACTTTAATTTTCCTTCTATTTTTTTATCATCTTACAGATTAATAGTCTGTAAATTATAATTCTGACCTGGAAGTTCACTGTATCTTACATGAATTCAGTTTCAAATTAAAAAGCTAAGTTCTAATGAAATTGTGCTAGCAAGTTCAGGATTAGGATAACATAGCATCAAGGCCATGCATTACTTTATTGCTAGTCAGTTTATACACATCCTTTTTGCCCTACTTTGACTCTAATGGAATACAAATTGCGAAACTTCTTTTCTGGCGAGCTGGTTTAGTGATAGGTTCTACCAACAGAGGGCAATGCAAGGCTGGAAAGGCAGTAAGAGCTTTCCTTAATTGAGTTTGTTTTACTGTAAGAGGATAAGGAAGGGTTCATTCAGCATACTGGGAGGTGTCCACAGCATTCACCAATGGGTGATATCATGCAAGGCTCCACAACAAGCAGCTTCTAGCCAGTCTCTCCTCCACCAGAGAAGCAGACGAGGCAGGCATCATACGCCGGCACAGTTTGAACCACTCCTTTGAGCCCTGAATCTCTCCGCCTTTTGGGGATCTACTAAGTTTCTAAGTTTCTTCCTTATTACTTTCCTAAATCCCAGGGAGTAGTGAGAGCTTCTTGGAACTGCCACCTGTTATACCTTTGAGTTTTGTTTTACCTCTTTTACACAATAAAATAATTTTTAAAAATTTTCCTGTTCAAACAACTGATATGGTTTTGTGTCTTGTCTGGACAGTAATTTACAGTGTTCCCTCAAGCTCAAATATCAGAAACTGGGTTCAAATCCCAGTTCTAATACTACTCTATTCTACCATTTCTCTGCACTTCAGCTTCCTCATCTCTAAAATGGAGATATAAACACTATTCTCACAAATTGTAAAGAGGTTGATGAAGTACTTATTAATTAGCACAGCTCTTGAAATAAATGTTCAATAAATGTTAGCTATTATTATTCAATAGTTACCTACTAAAAACAGAATGGGCAGCCTGTTACTTATCCACAAACTGAAGACTTCTGCAGCCTCACTTAAGTAGAGGTCAAAGATAAACAACTTTTCAATCTACTGATCTCAAGATATTTAGCTAATCAATGATCAAGGTGTTAAGTGGAACAAAAAAATGTTTAGTAACTTCCAAAATTTTAAGTTCTAGGAGTTCAATCGTAAATTAGGATTCAAAGACTTTATTAGGAAATGAATTAAAACTAGTTCACTTCACTTATCCATATTATTAAAATTCTAGTGAACCTCCCTTAGAAACAAATCATAAAAATATAATGCAAATGGAAAAGACTGTATTAACTACAGATAACTTGATAAATCCAGAAAACCACATAACCACGGTAAGAACTAGCTTACTAGCCCATTTCTACTTATATCAATGTTTGTGGGCCAGTATAATTTTAAATTTACATTTAAAAAGTCAAAACATAATTCTGTTACAAAATAATTCTCAAAGTATGTACCTAGTTTCCTATACAATTATATACTCACCCTAATTCTGTCATGCCATCCATGAACTCCTGTTTGGAGAATTCACACTGTGTTGCTGCTCTGAACTTCCATGCAATAATTAACACACTAATGCTAGCTGGATCGAGTGCCAAGTCATCACAGAACTGCTGAATACCATCTATTCCAATTTTATTTTCATCTTGAGGATCTTTAAAAATAATAATACAATATTAAAGTAGTGTCATACTTCATGAAGCTATTCCTAAAAGTGAGAAAAGTAATGCTTTATGTTCCATTAAGTAGACCAAAGACATAAGCAATATTACTTTAACAGATATTTTCCATCTATAATGCTTAATGCCACTTTCCCCTCAAAATAGAATTCTTCAGATGACTAGAAGGGTATGTACAGACAGATACTGATTTTTGAAAGTTGTATTTAATCAAGTGAAAAGCATCCCACATTTACACACATTCATAAAATCAGATATTCCTACACAGGGATATAGGATTTTTATTAGAAAAAACTTGAACTCTGAAATTCAGCTCTAATCTTAACAATATAAGTACCTGCTGCTCACATTAATAGATAAAATGCAACTATTTTTATTTACTTATCAGACAGCAAAAAGTTAAATGTAATGACAACAAGGAAGAAAGCACATATACACAGCTATACAATGTGACTTACTAACATCTCTAGGAATAAAAAATTCTCATGTCCTTTGACTTTTGTACAAAAGTTACACATAAAATATAATTAATCCCATTTTTGGAAAATTTTCAAATAAGCTCTGTATATGCATATCTAAATGATCATAAAAAGATCCACATGAAATTATTAAATACTGACTCCCTCAGGAGGATAAAAAGTTATAGAAACTATTATCTATTAGTTAACTATTTACTCATCAATTATGAAGATTTTTAATGTTTTAAAAATATATATTACTTATAATTCTCTAAACGTTAAGCTATGCAATTTTTCTTAAAATCAGTTTTAATTAAATGTAATGAAAATGAGGGAAAACCCCAGTCCTAATCCCAAATTGGAACATGAGGGGAATAAAGAGACTAAGAATTTTTTATTGAAAAGAGGAAAATAAATTCTCTCAGATCTCTTGAAGTAATTCTAAGTTTTACTTTTAGATACACCCGCCCAATTTATGTTGTGTATATTATCTGACTTCTCACAAGAATCATGTAACTTTGGAAATCTGGTTCAAAATAAAGTCACAAGCAAACACTCACCTTTGTATCTATTGTATAGTTGTTCTAACTTCTTCCTGTCCAGTGATCCTTTTACACTCTCCCGTATATAAAGTTCAGGATTTTGGAAAAAATTGTCTGTTGCAACATCTAACTTCCAGTCATTTTGGGACAGACAACTTACTGCTGTTTTTTCACTAGATTGTGTGAAGATCATAAACTGACGAACTTTATCCTTCTGCGATGATTTCAACTTGTTCTATTGAAACCAGAAAATAAACTGAAACTATGTAAAATGACATAAGACTAAGTTATTTTGATGTCTGACTAGTCATTCCTAACATATTTTCCCCAAAAATGTTAAGACATTTTAGTTCTAGACTTATTTTCATCTACTATTAGTCAAAATGATAATTTTAAAAACAATACAAAATTTGCTATTATTTTGAATAAGAAAACTAGGCTACACAAAGGAAGTTTAACTAGCCTGTATTTCTTCTAAAAGTGGATCTTGAGAAGGCTCTAAGTGGGAAATACAGCTACTTTCAAAACCTTAATCAATCCAAAATACAAACAATAAAAACCAACATTACCTTAAAAAAGAAAACTATCATAAAGCAAACAAAAAACCTTGATCAAGCACAAAGGATATATTAAGGAGTAATGGAGAAGGTAACATTATCTACCAACTTGGACAAATGACCTCTATGAACAAAGAGATTAACAGGTAGCTGTTACACTCCTAAAACACACTATAATGACAATTCTCTCAACCCCACCCTCTTGTCTTTTGCTATTGTTATCAAAAGTGAGACCACAAATGTAAAAAAAAAAAAAAAAAAAAAAAGTGAGACATGAATACTTTATATCCTGGTCATGTTCATAAATTAATTATCAATAAATTATCAATACAATTTTCTCATGTTTTCCACTCAAACTAGAAGCAGTAAAAAATGAATACATTGCATCCTTCTAATCAAGGTAACTTTTAATAGAATTCTTTTTCCCCCTGAAAAGCCTTTTTCCCTTATATAAGCTTAACAGACACTTTCTCCAATCTCTTCTCATTTGCCTTATGTTAACACAGATTCATTTTACATCTACCTGAGCCTTAAACAAAATGAAGCAAGGCATTAGGCCATCTGCATTCCTAGTATCAAAGACCATGTTTTCTCCTTCCTCTTCTACTCAAGCTAGTCTCCTGTGCAATTTCAACCTCCATAAATCTTCCACTTCTCAGGGCCTAATATCAATTAAGCTATTACTGCAAATGAGGTGAAAAAGCACTTGAATGGGACACACACATTAATAGTTATAGAGTTTTGTGATTTAAGCAATATATCTGAGAACTACAGCATCTTTCATCTGGCACATAGTGACAAAATCATAAACCCCAACCCTCCTGATTATAGTGATAAAATAGATCCAGGAGGTTAAAAAATACCCAGGTGACACGGAGATTACAACTGAGATGGAAAAAGGCACAAAATGATGTAAAAACAAACTATGATATTAAAATTAAAAAAAAAAAAAACAAAAACACCCGGGCTAAGGGAATGGGATCAAAAACAGTGAAAGGAGGGAAATGCACTAGACTATGGTGATGGCACATGGGTGATTTGGGGATGGGAAGCCCACGTGGATTACAACTGAGATGAAAAAATGCACAAGATGATGTAAAAATAAACTTATTTAAAATGCAACAAACACAGTCTATAATGAATTTACATCTTAGTAATCTTTTCATAAACCACACTACTTTTTGCATTTATTTATAAACCCATTAAGAGTTTCAGGAAAAACACTACCAATGATACAAATTATTTCCACCTATTAGAGTAAAAATAAGGCTAAGCAAAACAAATTGTGAAAACCAATCCTATCTCTTGAAATACATAAAAATGGTCATGCCCTACAGTCTAACCTCTTCCCCTCTCTGAAAATACTGTTTAGGATTACAGATTAAAAATCTTAACCTATGTTCTTCATTAAAATTTAAATACTATTATCACGAATCTCCTGTTACTTCACTATTACCTCTGAACACCAGATAACTCATATCCCATTATGTGACACATCACAAAAATATCTATGATTCTTCCCTCTTGAAAAATAGTTCCTTGAACCTCCTTGGTGGTACAAGAGGTTAAATCTCAGAGCTATCAAGCTACCAGGAGCCACTATGGTAGGAATTCAATCCCCAGCCAGGAAGCTAACTCACATGGCACAGCAGACCTCTCCTGTCTTGGCCTGCTGCTCCCCACTCTGTTTCTGGTGAATACTCTTACCGCCCCCTCCCCACACCAGTTCTTGTATGCATAAATAAATAAAACTAAAACTCAAAAAAAAAATTTCCTCAAGATTATTGAATTACAACAAATCAAAGAAGAGATGTTTTGTTTAAAATTACTTCAAATTTTGCTATTAAAACCTATTTTTTAAAATCCGTACACCTTTTTCCTTAAAGAAAAACAATATATTAACATTAATCTTTTGAAGATCAAGGAAATATTGAGGGTCACTGGGATCACCAATGACCATCAGTGTATAATGTTGTAAAAAGTACTAGAAATTAACTACAGGCCACATTACAGAAATTTCTTTTTAATTAAATTTTTTAAAGATTTATTTATTTATGCATACAGAACTGGGGTACAGGGCAGAGGTGCAGGGATGGTGAGAGCATTCCCAGAGAGAGTGGGGAGAACAGGCAGACAGAAGAACATACTGAGGGGAGCAGCAGGCAGACAGGAGAAGTCTGCTAGCCAAGTGGTTCAGCTCCCAGACCAGGGATCCAGGACCAAACCTGTGCTTAAATGGCTGCAGATAGCTTTATGGAAGTGCTGTGCTTTAACCCGTTGTGCCCCGGGGTAGGACCCCTAATTAAATCTTTTTTATTGTAATTTTCCCACATTCTCCTAAAAGGAGGCAACAAAATAATCAGTATTATTTGGGGCTTTATTATGTAATATTAAATCTATTGCTCTTATCGCTGAGACTTGGAATTATTTTTATTGAGATGAGAAAGAAAAAAACCAATTCAAGTCACTTCTTTCTGTAAGTCAGAAAGTGAGTGTTTTACTCTAATAACTTCCTGTCAGAACGCAAGATATTAGAAAGGTGAGGAGTGGATTAAAAATGTCTTTTTCGGCCCTCCCTGGTGGCGCAGCGGGTTAAAGCACAGCACTGAGAATCTGAAGCCACTTCCGCATGAGTTCGATTCCCGCCTGCCGCCTGCCCCGGAGGAGACCACATGGCGAGCCAGACCTCTCCTGACCCGCCCGCTGCTCCCCTCAGCAGTGTACTTCGTCGATCTGCCTGTTCTGCTCCCCACTCTGTCTATGGTGAAGCCTCTCACCGCCCCTGAGCCTCTGGCCTGTACCCCAGTTCTGTATGAATAAATAAATAAATCTTTAAAAAAAAAAAAATGTCTTTTTCTGGCCCTCCCTGGTGGCGCAGTGGGTTAAAGCACAACACTGAGAAGCCAAAGCCACTTCCGCATGAGTTCAATTCCCGCCTGCCCAGGAGGAGACCACATGGCGTGGCAGACCTCTCCTGACCCGCCCGCTGCTCCCCTCAGCAGTGTACTTCATCGATCTGCCTGTTCTGCTCCCCACTCTGTCTCTGGTGAAGTCTCTCGCCGCCCCTGCACCTCTGGCCTGTACCCCAGTCTGTATGCATAAATAAATAAATAAAAAAAAAAAAATGTCTTTTTCTAAAGATTTATTTGTGCATTCAAGAACTGGGGTACAGACCAGAGGTGCAGGGGTGAGAGGATTCACAGAGACAGAGCGGGGAGCAGAACAGGCAGATCTACTGAAATTCACTGCTGAGGAGAGTGAGTCTGCTAACCATGTGGGTCAGTTCCCTGGCTGGGGATTGAACTCATGCTGCAGTGGCTGGCTAAGGACAGCTTCACAGTACTGTGTTTACAAGGTCCAATGAGGACCCCATAAAATGTCTTATCCAGACAAACTAACAAAATTACACAAGTGAAATCATAGATAATAAATGTCAATACATATAAACTATTTTAACTAGCTTAATGGGTTAGGTTTCCACTATACAGGGTAGTATCAACATATTTTACAAAAGGGCTACAGATGTCTATTTCCAACAACATAAAAGCTAATGAGTGATACCTGGCAGAAACTGGTAAAATAATTTCCTGGTAGGCCAAGTATTAATAAAGAATTCCATTCCTGCAAAGTCTAATAAATACCCTCTCCTCCTTTTACAATGCACTTGTACCAATTTTTTTTTCTTTTTCTTTTTGCCCTGTTCTGTATCCACAGTAAATCTCATCTTGTTTTCTGGGGAGATGTAATAAATTCTTTCACCTCAAAGGCTGTGCTAGAGTAAAACTGGAGAGGATGACACAGACATGCCTTTTCCCCCAAGCCTATGTACGAGTTATAACATCCCTACCCCTTTTTCTTAGGCACCATGAAGACACCAAACAAATCATCTGATTTTTAAGAGTATGTCATCCAAGTTTAAATTTCTATCAACTTAAGAAAAAGGATCTCTAGCCAGAAAAATAAAGGATGAAAGAGAAGATGGAAAGCTGAGGTGAAGAAAAATCAGATGAATTTTGTTTCTACTAAGAGCAAAAACATGTAACTACTACAATGATTCAGCATTAAAATGTAGTATACATCATTACTTTAAGCCTTATTTAAAAAGGAAAAATTAGAGTGATAATTAAACAAGATTTAGGCAACACAATCTTTGGTATTCAAAATGTAAAATCCAGATACAAAACACAGTATATAACTGATTATTTTAATTCATACAAAAAATGAGGAACGAAGGCAAGGGAAGCAGAAGAGGAAAGAAACAAAGAAGAGAAAGAAAGAGAACTTTATTATAACAGAAAGCTAATGACAATTATATCAAAGATCACCAAAATTAGAAATACCATCATAATCTGTACAGTAAAACTCACTTGCTCATCCTTCCAAAATAAAACTGGTTATTGATTTGAGTTTAACACTTAAATCTAGCACATGTTGGCATTCTATTCACTCAAGAAATTTAATAATCACATTTAAAATAAGTTTATCTGAAAAAGAAAAAAAATCAGAGAAAACTTCTGGATATTACCAAGCGTCAGTCAATTATGTTTTACTACTGACTATTGTGAATGGAGACTCAAAAAGCTTCTACAGTTAAAAAATAATTAAATAAAAAAGGGCAAATTCTTCTTTGATTTACCACTAGAAAACAAAATTATGGAAAATAACTTTCTACTTAACTAGTCCCAGTAATTTCAAAATAGAAATAATGCAATGGGTAAGTGCTATTTTAAAAGCAAAATAGATCAATTTTGTTATTTCTATTCTTCAAAATCGTCATCTTCTTAACCTTAAGT